GCCACGCTGACCACAGCCGCTGGGTGGCACAGCCTCAGTCGGAACCTCTAGGGCAGGCACAGCCCAGTGCAGGGGCAGCAGGGCCTCCTCTCAGTGGGACTGGAGGTTCTGACCATCCCTGCAGCCTCCGCGGCCTTCCCAAGACCCTCTCAGAGCCTGTCTCTGGGGTCAGGATCCCCACCCTCCCCTTCCGAAGGAAGGCAAGAGGCAGGATGCCTCCAGGTCACCGCCTTCAGCCTCACCTTCTCCGTGACCTGAGACAGGCCCAGGAGCCCTCGCCGAGACTGGTGTCCTTTCCGATGAAGACCTTCACGGCTAGGAAGGGGCAGACCTGAGAGCCTGCTGGTGATGCCTTGCTCTTGGACTCTGTTCTCCAGAACAGTGAGGCTGTGGGGCCTTTTTACGGCTGACTCGGGCCGGGAGCTGTTCCTTAATGGGTACAGGGCTTCTCTTTGAAAAGACAAGGAGTCCTGGAAATGGAAGCCGTGATAGTTGCACAACATGGTGAATATATCAAATACCAGAGATTTGTGTACTTTAAAATGGTCAAATGGGGAGGCTGAGGTGAGTGGATTGCCTGAGCCTGCGGGTTCGTGACCCGCCTGGGCAACTTGGCGAGACCTCATCTCTACAATAAATCAAAAATTAGCCGAGTGTGGTAGCGCGCGCCTGTATTTCAGCTACTTGGAAGGCTGAGGTGGAAAGATCACTGGAGCCCAGCAGGTCGAGGCTGCAGTGGCCAGAGCAGCCACTGCACTCCAGTCTGTGTGACAGCATGAGACTCCAATTCAAAAAAAAAGTATAAAAAAAAAAGTGACATCGTATATCAAAAAGACCAGGAGACTAGTGTGTTGTTTGCTTTAAAAACACACTGAGGGTTGGGCTCAGTGGTTCATTCTGTAATCCCAGCACTTTGGGATGCCAAGGCAAATTGATTGCCTGAGAGTGAGACTCCAACTCAAAAAAAAAAAATTGTGATCATTTAAAAGAAACGCACAGAACCACAGTTTAGAAATATACTTTAACAATGTCATGAGGACTTCAAATAGAAGTATATTGTCTATTTTGACTTATACTATCATAAAGATATACAAATCTATCATACAAAAGTAAACATAATTTATGCACTTACAGGGTATACATGGCACCATCAGCAGTTGGGAAATGTGTAAGTAAATGTAAAGATGCAGTATTAACTCATAACGGCATAAAATTAGCTATGACACAAAGTGTATCAGTCAGTAATTTTGTGACCACTTCCTGCTGCCAGGTGACTAATGCAAGGGTTGTGAGATTCTGTTTCACACACCACATGATGTTAATGTTTCCATATGAGCATTTGGTCTTTCCAGAGTGAATCAAGGAAATTACAAAGAATCATTGTAATTATGGCAAAACAGTGGAAAGGCTTTGGTATCAAGATATAAATGTTGTATTCCAGCCCGGGCATCAGAGTCAAAATCCAACCTAATATATAAGTATTTACAATAGTCAGAATTCAGAAAGTTAGGTCTTATAATTATACTCCTGTATAATCTTTATTGCAATAATCAAAATGACACATAACTAAAAAAAAGAAAGAAAGAAAGTATGACCTACAAAAAAAGGATCACTAGAAACATCCTTTCATAAGTTACTCAATAGTATATGGTCATCATATACCTACAATCTTGGGTAAGATAGAATAGATTAACACTTATGGCAACATAACAGTTGTGTGGACAACAAATGTTAATACTTTATAAACAATTCTGTTCATTAAAACAAACAAATTTATATAGCCTAATAAACCTTCAAATTTCACTGTATGCAAAACCAGATTACAAATATTCAAGCACTTCTGAACTTCTGATAGCGTGAACCATGGGCAAACAGCTTTCTTCAGTTTTAAAAACTGAATCTTATTATTTATTAAACATACACTTATAATATATACATTTTAAGAGAATAATTATCTTTGCTCTGATGTATAAGAAAATATTTCTTTATATTATATCAAATTACACTGATGGCTTTTAGTATTGATATTATGAAGATGCATCAAGGTATTAATGTTCTGGCCTCATTTTCTCATTTGCATGTAGGTAGTAAGACAAATGACTTCTAAAACTCTCAATGATTCTTTGTCATTTATTTCCAAAGAGAAATGTGATCCTAAGCACTCACCTCATTCTGAACTTACAATAATGCATAATGTGCCACAAGAAACCTCTTCACTTAGATCATTAAAGATTACATATCAGTGTTCTTCATCCTCCATGAAAACATGACATGAGTGCTGATGACCTCCTATACAAAGACATTACATAGCTCTAATGTACCAACAACTGACCCCATGACTTTACATAAATCCTACAAATGAAGGCATAGCATCATGTGAATTGAGTTACATCAATATTGTTTGCTTTTCAAAATATTCTCAAATTCTGTCAATGCAAAGCCAAATTTATACAGATAATATACTTATGCTTTCCTAAAAAACAAACAAACAAAATAAATCTTTTTTTTTTTTTTGAGTTGGAGTCTCATTCTGTCACCCAGACTGGAGTGTAGTGGCCGCTTCCGGCCACTGCAGCCTCAACCTGCTAGGCTCTGGTGATCCTTCCGCCTCAGTCTTCCAAGTAGCTGGAACTACAGGCATGCGCTCCCACATCCGGCTAATTTTTTGATTTATTGTAGAGATGAGGTCTCGCCAAGTTGCCCAGGCAGGTCTTGAACCCGTGGACTCAGGCAATCCACTCACCTCAGTCTCCCAAAGTGCTGGGATTACAGGCTGAGCCACCGAGCCCGGCTCAAAATAAATCTTTTAATGCCACTCAATATTTGATATTTATTTCAACTTGACTTTCAGTAAATAAGCTTCCATATAAATTGCACCTGTAACATTTTCAGTCCGAATACCCTAGTATCTCCAATGGCATACAATTTAAATAAAGTCCAGTCCACATTCTTTAATTTTGTAGATTCTCTACAATGCAGTCTAATGTCAAATAAAGTTTTTACTGGTTAATGTCTTTAGACATGTTTTACATTTCTACATTCAAAAGATCCATGGCTTGAGTAAAGATAACAGTACTCTTTACATCTGCAAATTTCTCACCATGTCTCTATTGTTTATAACTAGATATATGATTTTCCAGTCATTAGAGATACTGAAAATTTAGAGTATAAATTGTCTGATGTTGAGAAAACTTGAAATAACAGTGAAAAGGTTTACCCCATTCTGCCCATCTATAGGGAATCCCTAAATATAGATGCTCATATGTCAACCAAATATTGAATGAGAGCTAAAGGCTTTATCTCATTCCTCTCATTTATATAGTTTCATCTCAGTATGGATTCTCATATGTCCAGCTACTTGTATATGAGAGCAAAGGGCTTATCATGTTTTTCACATTTGTAGAGATTCTCTCCAGTATGAATGATTATGTGTCCAGCAAATTCATTGTGAGAGTGAATGGCTATGGCATATTCTTCATATTTGTAGGGTTTTTCTCCAGTGTCAATGGTCTTATGTTCAGTAAATGCTTTATGAGAGCAAAAGACTTTGCCACATTCTTCAAGTTTGTAGAGATTCTCTTCAGTATGCAATCATATGTATAGCAAATCATTTGAGGAAAAAAGGCTTTGCCACAATCATCATGTTTGTAGGATTTCTCTCCACTATGGATGGTCTTGTGTCCAGCAAATTCTTTGAGTGTGAAAAGTTTTACCACACGTTTCACATTTGTAAGGTTTGCAATAGTATGGATCTTGACATGTCAAGCAAGTAGTGAATCAGAGTGAAAAACTTTTCTGCATATTTCACACTTGTAGGGTTTCTCTCCAGCATGGATGGTCATGTGTCCAGCAATTCTATTGTGAGAGTGAAAGGTTTTTGCCGTATTCTTTACCCTTGTAAGTTTCTCCCTGGTATGGAAGGTCTTATGTCAAGCAAATCCTTCATAGAGTGAAAGGCTTTGCCACACTTTTCACATTTGTAAGGGTTCTCTCCAGTATTGATGGTCTTATGTCCAGCAAATACTCCGTGAGAACAAAAATCCTGTGCCACACTTCACATTTGTAGGGTTTCTCTCTCTCTCTCTTTTTTTTTTGAGTTGGAGTCTCACTGTCACCCAGACTGGAGTGCAGTGGCAGCTCCCAGCCACCAGTCTCGACCTGCTGGGCTCTGGCGATCCTTCTGCCTCAGCCTTCCAAGTAGGTATTATGTCTAGCAAATCCTACATGAATGACCTTGCCATATCTTCACATTTGTAGGATTTCTCCCCAGTATGCATGGTCTTATGTTGAGAAAATCCAGAGTGAAAGTGAAAGACCTTGCCACATTCCTCATATTTGTAGGACTTCTCTCCACTATGGATACGCTGGTGTACAATAAGACTCTAGTCCTGAGTAAAGCCTTTGCCACATTCTGCACATTTGTAGGGATTCTCTCTAGTATGGATCACTGTGTGTTGAGTAAGATGTGAATGACATTTAAAGGCTTTGTCACATTCTACACATTTGTAGGTTTTCTGTCCAGTAGGAATGGTCGTATGTACAGCAAATCACCCTTGAGAGTGAAACACTTTGCTGCATTCTTCACATTTGTAGGATTTCTCTCCAGTATGAACCACCATATGTTGAATAAGGCTTGAAGGAGTTTGAAAGGCTTTGCCACAGTCTTCATATTTGTAGGGTTTCTCTCTAGTATGGGTCACTACATATCAAGTAAGGCATGAATGAAACTGAAAGGCTTTGCCACATTCTTCACATTTGTATGGTTTCACTCCAAAATGGGTCATGGTAGGGTCAGTAAGATGTGAACAAGACTGAAAGGCTTTGGCACATTCTTCACATTGGTAGCATTTCACTTTAGTATGGATCACTGTGTGTTGAGTAAGGAGTGAATGAGAGTGAAAGGTTTTGTTACATTCTGCACATTTATAGGGTTTCTCTCCAGTACAGATCATTGTATGTTGACTAAGTTGTGAATGAGAGTGAAAGGTTTTGCCACATTCTTAATATTTGTAGGGTTTCTCTCCAGTATGGATCACTGTATGCTGAATAAGGAGGGAACGAGAGTGAAAGGCTTTGCCACATTCTTTACATTTGTAGGGTTTCTCTCCAGTATGGATCATCGTATGTCGAGTAAGATTTGAACGAGTGTGAAAGGCTTTGCCACATTCTGCACATTTATAGGGTTTCTCTCCAGTATGAATGGTCTTATGTCTAGCAAAGTCTCCTTGAAAGCAAAAGGCTTTGCCACATTCTTCACATTTGTAGGGTTTCTCTCCAGTATGGATCATCGTATGTCGAGTAAGTTTTGAACGAGAGTGAAAGGTTTTGCCACATTCTTCACATTTGTAGGGTTTGATTCCAGTATGGATCACAGTATGTTTAGTAAGATTTGAACGAGAGTGAAAGGCTTTGCCACATTCTTTACATTTGTAGCATTTAACTCCAGTATGGATTTCTGTATGTTGAGTAAGATGTGAAGCAGAATGAAAGGCTTTGCTGCATTGTTCACATTTGTAGGGTTTCTCTCCAGTATGGATCATCATATGTCGAGTAAGGAGTGAATGAAATTGAAAGGCTTTGCCACATTCTTCACATTTGTAGGGTTTCTTTCCAGTATGGATCACTGTATGTTGAGTAAGATGTTTAGAAGATTGAAAAGCTTTGCCACACTCTTCACATTTGTAGGGTTTCTCTCCAGTATGGGTTATCATATGTCGAGTAAGGAGTAAACGAATGTGAAAGGCTTTGCCACACTCTTCACATTTGTAGGGTTTCTCTCCAGTATGGATCACTGTATGTTGAGTAAGATTTGAATGAGAGCGAAAGGCTTTGCCACATTCTTCACATTTGTAGCGTTTCACTCCAGTATGGATCAGTGTATGCTGAGTAAGATGTGAACGAGTGTGAAAGGCTTTGCCACATTCTTCACATTTGTAGGGTTTCTCTCCAGTATGGATCATTGTATGTTGAGTAAGATGTGAACGAGAGCGAAAGACTTTGCCACATTCTTCACATTTGTAGGGTTTCTCTCCAGTATGGATCATCATATGTCGAGTAAGGAGTGAATGAAATTGAAAGGCTTTGCCACATTCTTCACATTTGTAGGGTTTCTCTTCAGAATGGATCACTGTATGTTGAGTAAGATGTGAATGACAGTGAAAGGCTTTGTCACATTCTTCACATTTATTTATTATTTATTTATTTATTTATCTTTGTGTTGGAGTCTCACTCTGTCACCCAGACTTGAGTGAGGTGGCCGGGAGCCTCAACCTGCTGGGCTCCGGTGATCCTTCCACCTCAGCCTTCTGAGTAGCCAGAATTATAGGCATGCACTACCATGCCCAGCTGATTTTTAAATTTATTTTAGAGATGAGGTGTCGCTGCCCAGGCGGGTCTCGAACCCACGGTCTCAGGCATTCCACTCACCTCAGACTCCCAAAGGCACAGGATTACAGGCTGAGCCATTGAACCTGGCTTATTTATTTTTTATTTTATTTTATTTTTTGAGTTGGAGTCTTATTCCATCACCCAGACTGGAATGCAGTGGCCACTCCTGGTCACTGCAGCCTTGACCTGCTGGACTCCAGCGATCCTTCAGCCTCAGTCTTCCAAGTAGCTGGATTTATAGGCACATACTACCATGCCCAGCTAATTTTTTTGATTTATTGTACAGATGAGGTCTCGCCAAGTTGCCCAGGCAGGTCTTGAACCCGTGGGCTCAGGCAATCCACTCACCTCAGCCTCCCAAAGCACTGGGATTACAGGCTGAGCCACAGAGCTCAGTTCATTCTTCACATTTATAGAGTTTCTATCCACAATGAATTTTCTGTGAATGACATGAGTAATAGCTGAGGGCTTTGCCACATTTTTCACTTTGAAGGCTCTCTCTCCCCTATGGATTCTTTCATGTTTATTTAGATAGGATGATTTCTTAAACACTTTCCCACATATATTGTGCATATTTCCTCCACTATTTTTTTGATGTTGACTACATTTTGAGGACCGGTTAAAGGTTTTGCCATATTCATGTTTGAAAGCCATTTCAGAAATATGGATGCTCTGGTGGATAACAATTTGGAGTGTTGATGAAAGACTTTCCTACTCTTGTTACATTTGTAATGGTTATTTGCAACTGAGCATTCTATCTGCCCTACACCCTCATGCACACTTATCCAAGATTTTTGTAAGCATAAGTTCTTAAGGACATATTTACCATATTTTCCTATCAGCACTTTTGCAAGTGAGTCTTCTAGGCTCTTCTCTGGCAAAAGTCCTTCAGTGTAATGAGAAGTCACAGCTGAAAATCAGGAAAATAAAAATTTATTCCACATGTTAGACTCAGGTGAATATCCTTTGAAAATAAAATATAATATTATATCATGGTAAGGACATAAGTATGATGGCAAGTACAAATCACAGGTTTTCACTCCATCATAAATATATACACTTAAGAAAATACCCAATTGCCTGTGTGATAACTCAAAAAACAACGAAGACTGCAGAATACACATGATAAAATGAGTTACATGGAAGAGAAAGTTTAGAAATTTTGCCACCATAATTTCTGTTCCTTTACAATGAAGCATGATGCAATCAGATGGGATGCTCTAACTCTTGAATTCTCCCTCAGGGAATAAATCGAGGAATGGAGTATGAGTCCACACTTCTGTCCTTTGAGGGTTTATACAAAGACTGGTTACTGTCACAACGTATAGAAAAGATATCTCCTAAGAACAGGTATGAGTCTCCTAGAATCTTTAAGTTAGTGATTGTTATTATATTAATCTAGACAAAGCAACATCATAAACATTATGACATGTATATCTTTGAATTTCAAATACTCCAAACAAAATATGACAAAGCATAGAAAGAATCAGGATAAATGATTCAATTAAGGATACAACAATAATTTGTGGAGCTGCAAATTACAAAAAAGTTTGAGAAATTTTTATATGAAATGTAGAAACCCCTACTTGAACCACCAAACTACTGCCTGGGTTATAGAGAACATGCTGATAAAGTGGAACCATAAAAAGAATTTGGAAAACATCCTTGATATTGATATTGGTCTTAGTAATAATTTTTTTATGACTACAGGAATAAAAATAAATATAAACAAGTTGGAGATATCAAACTGAAAATCTTCTGCAGAGTAAAGAAAAAAGGAAGAAGGCTTATAGGATAAAAAAAATCTTCAAACCATATACTTAATGAGATGTTAAAGAAAGAAAATGATAATCACTTGAATAAAAAACAGTCCAAAACTGAATAGTTATTTTCCAATGATGACATACAAATTGCCAACCAGTATATGAACTGGCACTGACCAACACCAACAGAGGCAATTTCAAATAGACACAATGATGATATATTGTCTCACAGCTGTTAGAATGACTAATATCAACCAGAATAGAGAGAGAGAATTTTGATAAGGATGTGAAGAAAAAGAAATCCTGTATACTCTTGTTGAGTTTAAAATTGGAAGAGTCATATAAAAATCATTATCGACATTCTTTTAAAAATTAAAAAACCTGCCATAACTCAGAAATCCCTTTCTGGGTATATAACCAAAGGAAATAAAATCAGTATCAAAAAGAGGTCTCCAACCCCTATGGGCATTGCAGCATTTGTTAAGATGGACAAGCTTGAAAACAACCTAAATATTTGTGGAATCTGTGTTGATTAATAAAACAATGTACACACATACACATATTTATATATGTACAACAGCATATGATTCAGCCAAAAAATTTTTTAAAGAAATCTGCAATTTTACCTTATGGATGACATTGTAAGACATTATGCTAACTGAAGTGAGCCAGGCACATGTACACATAAATACTGTGTGAGAATGGGTACAGTGGCTCAAGTCTGTAAATCTATCACATTGGGAACTGAGGTGAGAGGATTGCCTGAGCTCAGGGTTTCAAGACCAATCTGGGCACCTAGGTGAGACAACGGGTCTATGACAAATACAAAAACAAGCTTGGTGTGTCAGCACACGCTTGTAGTTCCAGTTACTTGAAAGGCTGATATGGAAGGATCGCCTGACCCCAGCAATGAGGCTGTGGAGGTCATTAGTATGCCATGCATTCTAGCGTGGAGTGAGACTCCAACTCAGGGAAAGAAAAATCCTGCATGATCTCACTCCTGTGGAATCAAAAAACTTTGCACTCATATAGGAAGAAAGTACAACGTGGTCACCAGGGCCTGCAGGTGGGAAAATGGAGATGTTTTTCAGTGGTTACAAAATTTAAGTTATAACTGAGTCTTAGGGAACTAATGTGTACCACAGTGACTTATCATTAACAATGACATCTCGTGTGCTGAGAAAATTTGCTAAAATAGAAGACATTATGTGTTCTCCTCACAAAACATAAAAATGACAACTACGTAAGATGGTTGATATGTTCATTAATATAATTGTAATCATAATTTCACACTGTATAGGCATATCAAATTATTACATTATTTACAACATATGGTTATACATTTTTATTAATGTATAAAAAATCAGATGCTAATCACACATAAACATGCATACATACATATTTGAATATATGCATATATGAAGCTAGTCCTAAGCTTCATACTAAAGAAAATTAAAAAATAAGAGTCATTAAGACACAAGGTAACACATAGGAGTTTAATATATGTTTACCAATTCTCTACATGATATAGTACACTTAAATATTTGGATATAAAGAAAAACTACCAGTCTCAGACTATACTATAAAAGTAAAATTTAAGTAAAATGTCAGGATTTCATCTATTAAGACAGATAATTTTTATTTAGGTAGGACAATTGAGTATGAATTTAAATAAAATCATTGAAAATCTCCCTAGTATAGAAAATCATAAATTAGAAAACATGTAACATGTGTCCTGAGTGTTCTTAAGTATCTCAAACAGATAACAAAATCACTGCTCACATATTCCACCATGATGCAAAAACAAAACATAAAAAATTGTTTGACATGGATTTCCAAATAAATAAGCAAATACTTGCTCATCTCCAAAGCATCAGAAAGGTAGTCAGATCATTCAGTTCCTAACAAACCATTGAGTGAATTTTGGTTTCCTCTGTAAACTTGAAACCATTTCCATTGGAGCAGACCCAAACCACATTTCAAGCTCTGATTCCTCAACCTGTGTCATCTGCTTCAATCACTTCCACCTACCTGGAAGTTCAGCTAACGTGCTGTGTCTCTTCACATCCCAGGGCTCTTTCCTTTGCTCCAGACACAGAATAAGGTCTGGCTTAGAGACAGCAAGTCCTTTTTAATTAGAAAAAAGTAACATGACTCTTACTGGAGTTCTTTGATTACAAACCTAGTATTTGATCAGTAGAGAACACATTATACAAGATTCTAGATAACTAACCCCAAAATATGGTTTCCCAATAAAACCTTTTGAACATTTTGATACAATTTTCAATTTATGGGTTTCTTTTTATTCTAAGTTGGAGTCTCACTCTGTCACCCAGGCTGGAGTGCAGTGGAAAGCTCATAGCTATCCCAGTGCTCACCTGTTGGGCTCAGGTAATTCTTCTCCCTCAGCCTACCAAGTAACCAGAACTACAGGTGTGTGTTACCACTCGCAGCTAACTTTTTGATGTAGTGTAGAGATGGGGTCTTGCCAAGTTGCCCAGGATATTCTTGAACCTATGGGCTCTGGCAGTCCTCTCAACTCAGCTTCCTAAAGTGCTACCATTACACAGCTGAGCCACCATGCCTGGCCTTAAATTTGTGAGTTCTTAGTTCCATACTAGTGAGTCAATAACTTATGGCAGCAATTGGAATCAGATGTGGGCAATGATATCTATGCCACTAAATTTCTGAACTTACCAATAATATAGCTAGAAGGACACTGGTCAATTTAAAATACAGAAGGCTTCCTGTCAAAATGAAACATGAAGCATTATTAATTTTTTATTTTGTATGTGAACATATTACCAACTTTTCATTGATAGTAGGAATCTGAAACTCATTCATGCAAAGCAGAAATTCCCAGAAAATATTCTACAAAAGAAGGACTTAAAATCCTTAGTATGGCCAGGCTCAGTGTCTCACCTGTAATCCCAACACTTTGGGAGGCTGAGGTGAGTGGATTGCCTGAGTCCAGGGGTTCGAGACCTGCCTGGGCAGTGAGATCTCATCTCAACAATAAACCAAAAAATCAGCCG